CGAAATGTTTCGGATCTATCACTCACTTACATCAGGGTCTATGCGAATATACTATATCCAATGGCCTTTTCCTGCAAACGCGTTTATATTTTCAGATTCAGCTCTATGAAATGAAAATATTTGGTTTGGGTATTATTATCTAATATGATGGACAGAGAATGTTTAAAACATATGACTATAGTAAAATGCCAAAGAAAATATTTTCCAATATTACTGTCATATGTATTACTAGTTTTAAATAAAGCAATTATTAATTAGGAAATATAGTGTAATATAAATTAACGTTCAATTTTAAAAAGCTATTTTCTATTTTATGCTTGTATTTTGTACTACTTGTATCTTCTCAGAATAATATAAACTTACCGATAAGTTATTGAATTTGAAAAAAAAATTCAAATGAAATTTTCTCATATTATTAGCATAAAAATGAATCTTTTTATGTATATATGTGTGCTCAATGTATCTAAAATATTTTGATAAGTACTGTTGAAGTACATGCTTGAAATGTCCAACCGTTTCGGAAATATGGCTTTTTGACTTCTGTACCAGTAAATGACAATTTCCAAAATAGACAAGACTTTAAAATTCACTGTAAGCAACTATTCGGGTAAAACTACTTGAATTAAATAAGTCATAAATGGATTTTTTCTAATTTAAGATTCAGTAAATAATTTTATTTTAAAATGTATATACAATGTTTCTCAGTGTATGAAATAGTTATTTAAAATCAATTATAACCGTGTATTTATCATAATGTTTCGCTCATATTCAATCATTATTTTTTAATTTTCACAAATCAAATATTTTTCGTATCTATTTTATTTGCTTAGAAAACACAAAGTTCGAGCAATTTTAGAAAGTTACAGAAACAGCCTTAAAACCACGCCATACACTACTATAAGTAAAAAAAAAAAAAAACATTTACATATAAACCCTGAACTTGAACATTTGATTTTATTATTACGGTATTCGTCGTATGTACTTTCAGATAAAAAGTTTTTAAATGAAAAGTGTAGAGATCGAGCTATAATTTGAGAGAAGCTAGCGTCGGCACGGGCTGAGTTAGCAGCTATCTAGTGCACCTCGTAACACCTCGCGCAATCCGCGCCGCCGGCGTCGGTGTGACCGGACATTTGTGAAATTATTTGGCTCCGCGGAGCCTATGTCATATCGCCAGCCCGGCACAATTTATGAGAAGCCGTCGCGACATTTGCATTCCGGGAAAATGAACGGAAGGACTGTTTTCGTTTTATTAAGACAATGCCGGAAAGTTGAATTTTCAATATCAAATATATGGAGAGAAATTTCATGGAGAACGCCTTTTTTACAATTTGTGCGAAAATGATGAAGAAAACTAAATAATATTGATGTTTAGATACGCGAATTCAATTTTCAATATTGCTAATGACTCTACATCAATCTTTGGCCAGTCCAGTACAGATTGTAAAATTGTACTCGACTGTATTGAAAAATTTTGAGTAAAAAATAAGAACACAAAAACGATGTGATTGAAATCAGTTCAAATTTTTGTTATACGCACAAACTTCAATGTGCTATACAGAAACATTTGAACCGAATGTGAGTAAAATGTACCAGCAAAAATCATATCATTTTTAGGTTTATATTTTTTTACTCTTGATTAAATACGCCAACTTTTGATGAAACTTGCCAATACACTTTAGTATTTTTTTTAATTCATATTCCAACAAAAAGTCTAGAAATATACGGTTTCGAATCTAAAATTTAAATGAACAATAAACAAAAAATGGTCATAATTTTATCAAATCCTTAGGTTGGACTTAAAAGTTCATAATTCCTTAATGTCCATAATTTTAAACGAAATAAAATAGTCATTTATAAGAAATTATTTTATGAGTAAATAGCTTTTTATATAATTATCAATAAAATATTGTTAATATTATAACGAATGGGAAAACAACTATTGAAATGTTTTTCCAACATGCCCCTTTAGTATACAATGTCCCTTTACGTCCGACAATTGTAAATTCCACAAAATTTATTAAATGTCCTTAACTGGACAGTTGTAAATAAAATAGAGAATAAAAAAATTTTTTAAAAAAATATGGTACGAGTTCATGGTAATGCACTATTATACTATATAATAAAACTATAATATATATATATATATATATATATATATATACGAGTATATATATATACTCGTATATATATATATAAATGTTAATAAATATTTGCCCGTATACATGTCGATTTTTGTATCTGTATCGATATAGATCCCAATATATATAGTCATTGGCCGTTGCTGAGTATTTTTCACGTGAAAATGTTCGACCTTCGATCGCTTGAGTGGAGCATTCCGTTGCACTTATGTAGGTAATAGCAGAAGTCTGTTGAAGCTGCAAGTGAAAGAGATGAGTTATGCAGGATGGAGGGTGAGTGTTATACGGGGAACCAACCCGCGATGGGGGCGGTGAGCGGAGGACCGGCCAAAACTTCGTAGCAGATGCCGGTAATTAGGATTCTGTTTGATGATCGTCCGCATGCTTAAGGCAACGCGTGTGCCTCTATCTGTGTATGTGCGTACGCTGGATAGGGATGGTTAACATGACTCGGGGGTCATCATGGGGGTTAGTAATCACTGAACTTTGTACATATGCAATGGTCGAAAATCAGCAAAACGCACTGTTGAAAATGAACTTCTCGGAGGATTTATATGAGATGGATTATACATACTGCACGGGAGTCTTGTGCGAGTAAAATTGACACTACAATTAGATTCATATGGTTATATTTATTATTTTTAAACCGGTTTTGCAATTTTCTATTGAATTAACCTCAGGACTTTAAACAAAATGTATGCGTTGCAAATTTATTCATATAAGGTCATTAATCTTTTATAACATTATGTAACACGATGGCGTTTAATATATGTCAATGTCAAATTCAGTATTTTATATAAAAATATGTGTGTATATACATATGTATATATTTTTTAATATATACGTGTCCCCGTATTGAAATATCGGGGATAGATTGGGGATCCGAGTTGACATAAATCAGCGCCTCCAGAGAATGTGCCGGGCATTGGAACGCTATCGCCAATGCTAAGACGGAAGGGGTGACATGTTACAAAGAAAGAATATAGCATGGGACACAACTCGACCATATTAATCACGGGGACGCTTCCCGTCGAACACTTTTTGTTCGTGTCATCCCGATGGAATGCCGTTGCGCGGCGAAAAACACGCGTCTTCGTGTGAAATAGGTCGAGATCGAATCACTGACTGTTTTCGAAGTTTTTTCTAATGATATCGAATAAATTACTAGCATCTCTTCGAAATTATAAATATTGAACAAGTCCGTGAGCTGTGTAAAACTCCAACTCGATTCAGAGAAGAATAGTGCGAAAGATTGCCAGTTCACTCCGCAGTGACGGAAATGAGCTTATTTTTAATTGGAAATATATTTTTGACTAATATTTTCAAGTGAAAATGGACATTGCTAATGCTCGATGTCAGGTTGTCCAGAGCGGGGTTTGAATTTACGACCTCGTCCACACGAGTCCGTGAGCTCAACGTGTCTGTTTTTGTTTGTTTGTTTTTTTTTTTAAACCTTGGCTGGAGGTTTTTTTACCGGAGGTTTAAAATCATGCCAACGAAAGAAAATTTATTTTATCCGACTATTTTATGAGAAATTATATATGAAAAACAAACATCGTAGTACGATTACGTCATAATAAGCGGTCGGTCAAACAAGCAATATTTGCAAGCTAAAAATTCTAATTATATATCTCATTAGGTATGTTATTATCATCAATTCTTTTTTTACAAAACTGTATTTTAAAAGTTGTTAAAGCATATATGAAATTAGTTGCAGAACTAGAAACAATGAAATATTATTTTCAAACTTGTTCTGATTCAAATGAATATTCTCTCACATACACCATTTTCATTTATGATTTCAACATTATGTAGCATGCTGACATTAAGCTCTTCGAGAAAATTTTGAATATAATTTCAGACCCAAGCGGTATCTGTTTATTGTTAAACGATTTCTATACGTAGCCCTTACAAGTATTAATAATCTACGAAAGCATTATAACGTTTGTATGAAAACATGAAATTTTGCGTTGAAACTCGACGCTTTATTGCAATATAATCCATATTATAACCTTCGTCATATAATTTATGTTGTTAATTTTATATTGTATTAGCTTGGTGTACGCTGGTAATGGTCGTCTACTCGTTGAAAATTGATACCTTGATAACATTCACGATGGTATATTTTCTCGCCGTATGCGACAGCTTACAGGAATAATCTTTTAATATGATATACTTTATTGCCACCACTTGCCTTATAGTACTAAATGCACTTATTTCTTTAGAATAATACATCGATTGTTGTATTCAATTGTTGCGTTGATATTTGAGAATAACGTTCATCTTTATGCTCTCGTTTGTCAAAAGTGAAAATTGTGAAAATTCTTCAGGATCTTTTTGTAACTAATGTGGAAGCTTCAAATTTAATTCAAACCCTTGCCGCTCGATTTAATTATCTCTGATTTGTAAAACGACCACAGTGTCTGCATCATGATTTTGCAGTCGTGTCACCTGAACGTTTGTATATCGAATTCTCTTTCTAAGTAAATCCGAAGTAATTTTAATTAATCCCGGAGATTTGCGGCTGTCATGGTAGCCGAACCCGTGCAAACCGCTTCGTGAATTCGTAATAGCAAACGTGCTCGTGTGACATTTACTTGTATGGAACAGTCGTCGCCCCGGCGATCACATATTATGGGTAACATAGTCTGAATAGTACTTCTCGTCCTGTTAACTTTATTTTGTATTACTACTGAATCCGTTCTTTCTCTACTAATTTAGGATATTGCAGATTTTTTTAAGCAAATTTAAGCTAATTGACTATTTATAATATTTTTACTTAAGCTATGATTATGTTCATTTGCATTGTATTATATTTATATGGAGGATGGATTTATAATTGTAATATTTATTTCACAGATTGTCTTCACCTGCAATTGTATCGCGATTCAAAAGATCGTTACAAACAAGGACAGACCAAAGCATCATTGTCGTTACAGCATTTTCTTGGTGCCGAAACTGGATTCACATTAGACAAAGAATCAAATACCGTTGCCATCATTTGCCAAGATGTTATAGTGGTTTTAGCATTCGACACACGCGAAAGACTTATACAATGGCAGGTTTGTAATGATTTTTACATACATCGGATACTATGCACTATTTTTTGCATAAACATTATTTTATTTTTTTTATTATTGTTTCATATTTTATTTCCATTTTTAGGTAAAGATAGCAGGTCATCTTGGAGAGGATCAACAGTATCTCGTTTTAGTATCGTCTGCACCATCAAAAGCGAAAGTGACCTCTGGTCCAGCACGAATGCACGTTCAAGATGGAAGATTTTGCCTCACAACTGGAGTCCCACCTAAACTAGCAGGCCTATGGGAAATCGGTAATCTAAGGTATTGTAAAAAATATTACTTACTTCATTGAGTTGGTTAAATTATTTTATAATGTTAAAAATTAATATTAGTTTAAAAATAAATAATATCCTTGCTTTCTAGACGGTACGGTGTCGTGGACGGTCGTTTTTGTTTTGAAGGAGGATCACTTTGCGGTAAAGGTGAAGGTTTATATATATTACTTACCGATCAAGGTGAAGATATTACCCAGGCATTGAAAATGGCAGCTCAAGGAAAGCTTACAACCCGTAGACGTGCAACGATGTCTCGAAAATTAGCAGGTAATTTTAAATTTATAGACTAGTTTTATATTATATTTGTTATGGATATGTTAGACATCATAATATTTTTATACAGGCTTGGAAAGTCCTCGTAAAACTTCGGTCGGCCATAGTACATTGAGATGTCAAGATGAGTCTTGCACATGCGCCTCAAATAGTGGATCTCCATCATATTGGCCTTCACAAGAATCTCAAGGTTTGCCTACGATGATGCAACATCATCCACAGCATCATGACCTAGATTGCAATTATGGTTGTGGTGACACAGTTTCTGTAAGCGATATGCAGGTACATACTGTTCTGTTTATAATAGTAATATGTTTGTATTGGATTTGTTTTTTAATTCACATTATTTTTAAGGATTCTGGCGGTTTGCATAATGAAACATGGGCATGCGGTGACACCGATCGCAACATAAGTGGCATGATGGGAGGCAACATTGGTTTGGAACGTTGTATGAGCTGTATCAGTAAATTAGGAGCTCCTACGATGTCTAGATCATCGACGGTTACAACAAGTGGTGGTGCGACACCTGGTGGTGATACGGCATTCAGTCCAGGATGGGGCGAACGAGCCGCTCAACAACAACATGCAATTCAACAGCAACAACAACTACAAATGAACCGTCAACAGCAATTGTTAATTCCACAAAATCCAGGAGATAGGTCATCACTTTGTTCTCATGGTAGCAGTAGTTGCAATAGCGAATATTCTGTACCTCGGTGCACGAACACGGTCTGTCAGCAAAGCGGAAATGACACATCGTCTTCATGGTATGAAAGGATACCTGCTCCATCATCTGTAGCTGGCGTTTCTCCGATTCCAAAACCTTGTCAGTGTGGCTGTCAACCGCCATCCCGGCCTCCAAAACCCGCCCAAATGTCGCAAAATACACAAAATACTACGAATATTAATTCACCAACAAGACGGCCTAAACCTCCTATGCCGCTTCCTATAGTGCCAGTCCAGGTAAAGAGATATGTGTTCATAAAGTTTAGCATAATAACTTTCTACATTTGAAATGTTTCCAAATAATTAATTTTTTATGTTTGCAGCTTAAACCAGTAAAATCAGGTGATAATTGCTCTTGTCGAGTAATTGCTTCTGCTACAAATAATCCAAAAGTTGGGCCTTACGAAAACTACGATACACCAAAAATTCCTGTACCAGTCGTGAGTTACAAATAGAATAATTTGTCTGTTACTCACAATGAAATACATTATTTCATTGCATTGCAGGAATCGAAAACTCCAGATGCCAAGACACCAGATCCTCAACGAAATACTACTTTTGAAGATGAATATTACGACACTCCTAAACGCCTAAAGGAAAGCCTCGCAGCATCTGCTGGCAATACGTGTGAAAGTCCTGATCAATTTGGAAATTATGATACACCTCCTTCTCTTATGATGGGTGGCACTTGTTTGCTGAAAATTACTAAGATGAATGAAAATACTCAAGAGGAAACTATTAGGGTAGCGGGTGGAGCTGAATGTCCTTGTCAACGCGTAATGAGTTGGGCCGATAATTGGATTCCACTAGGATATTGCCGTAGAGGATATGGTAATTAACCATTTACATAAACAAAATTCAATACATATTTATAATATAAATTACATTTTGTTTTTTTCTCTGTTTATAAATTTAATAATACATTTGTAGGCATGGAAAATACTGCACTCAACTACCGACTAAAAGTTAACGGGGAAGGTCGGATGCCATTAGTTATTACTCAGCCTTGTGCTGATTCAGCTATTTATGCAACAGTAGACAAATCGAAAAAAATGAATCGACGAAATACAGTGGATTGTGCCTGTTCCTCATCTGAAATAGAAAAGGATATTGCATCTAATTATGAAAATATTGAACCTGTTTGTATGTCAAGTAATAACAATAAGAATGTTGAAAGAAATCAATCTTCTGATAATGCTAACTATGCCAACATAGAATTTGCCCAATCACTTGAGCACTACGAAAATGCTAAAGGCGTTCTAAGGAAAGCTGGCATTACTTCTGAGGAATTGCAAGCATTGCAAAATGAGATTGTTTGTAATAAATGCGGCCATGCCAAAGAAGAAGTGAACGAATCCAACGGAGTAGCTGAGGAAGAGTCTGTGCAATCGACAAATATAACTACTGGCGATGATTATCTTATGATGGAACCAAGTAGCAGGATAAACCATGGAAAGAAAAATGCAGGTTTTCCTGGTTATATTCCCATGTCACCTGCTCAAGGTTTCACAACTAAAACAGAATTGTTAAAGCAGCGAGTCTGTAGACTAATGTCTGGTGAAAAATCAGCTAGTAATCCGGCGTTGACGGCGGTTGGTCCAGCTGTAGATCGGAGCAGAAAAAGAGCAGAGTCAGAAATGAGAGTGCCAGGTTCCGCAATGATGCTGCATCAAGTATATTCACGACGGCAACTTATGGATTCTGGCGATTCCTTAGTTACTAAGCCATCTATCACTGGCCAACTAGCTCGAAAAAGATCTAGCTCTGCGGATTCATCAAGGTATTTAGAAGATGTCGAGGAATTTAGCGGAGCAAATTCTTCACTAAGCTCACCTTCATCTGAAACTCTTAGAAAAAGTTCTATACATTCACTTATATCTCACGAAGAGGATGATGGAAGAAGGTCTAGTTCACCTTGCCTTTTACATAGGGAGATTGAGTTACCTTGCTGTCCAGAAGCTGCAAAAGCTTCTGATGAGACTGTTAATATTCGAAGATCATCCAGCGTGCCCTGTAAATCTGGCCAGAATCGAGATTCTTCTAGTTCCAACGATTCAGGCGTATCAACGGGGTCACTAAAACAGCGAGAATACGAATTGGAGACAGCGGCATCACCAACGACGGGTCGACGGAGACGGTTACTTGGAAATACTGGACAAGCGTCAGTAAGAGCAGGAAGCGTGAGGGGTGTTGGCAATTCAAGTTCGAACTCTAATCAGCCTCCCAGAAGATCCAGATCTTTCGATCCGCTTGGCGAAACGGGATTGCAATTGGAACAACAGCAGACCAAGTCTTCATCTGCTGAAGCTGAAATTCCAATATGCACTACGAAGGGTGTTAAAGGTGTGATTACTTTTTGAATATTTGAATTTTTATTATATATCACTTTTATAAAGAATAATCGTTTGCATAAACGTCAATATTTATTTGAACAAAAATTTATTTTATTTTGATTTATAGGTTACGGTAATAGCGGCGATGGCAGCGCTCTGGGGCCACCTTATATGGATTCAAGGAGTACGTCTAGCGGTACCTCAGATATGTCGGACTATATTGAAACTTTGTCATTATCTTCTCATAGCTCTTCTGATGCACCTGACAGTTTAAGGTACAAATTTAGCTGGTTTTAGACAGATATCAGTATCTCCATCGGTTGAAAATTGATCTTAGTTGTTATTATAATAATACATATTTAACATATTGATTCAAAAATTCTGACTTTATATGAAAGGAACGATACATGTGACTGCAACGTGTAATACAAATGTATAATGATGACGAATGAACGTAGTAACTGAAATTTGATGGATTACACTCATTATATTTTAATTTAATCAAACCTTCTATGGGCAATCGTTTTTTGGTCATTGCTATAATATAATTATGTACAGTTTATTGATTCGTTTAATGAAGTTTTGTGATGAAGATATTAAATTAATGATATTGTTTGTTCGATCAGGATGCAACCGGCAGGTCAATTCGGTCGTCAAGCAACAACGACGCTGCGACCTCGTTCAGGAAAGGAATACCAGAACATCGATCGTGCGGCTCTGATATCATCGGGCGGAGCAGGCGGCTCGTATGCTGGCATCGCCCCTGTGCTAGAAAGCCCGCGTGAATCACCAAGCCCTGGTTACATGAGCGGATCATCGCCCACCAACGACACGCCGATTGCTGGCACTCCTACCAACACTGCCTATAAGGTATGAGATTTAATAAATAGTTTTGAATTATTAATAAATTCAATATTGAGAAATTGAGAATCAGCATTTATTTTAATTTTCAGATCAAATCGGTCATTTCTCAGCAGCCTATTCAGTAAAGAATTAAATATTGTAGATGTAACTGATTAACATTAATTTTGTGTTGCAAGAAAAGAGCAAATAGTTCCTAATTTCGAATATATGTAATATATGTATATATTATTGAACTCAAATAATTAATGTAGAAGACTTCAGAATCAGAATTGTGACGATGAATTTAAATTCATTTTGGTAAATAATTATTAGTCTGTATATTTTCTGAAAGGAAGAGCTATATTTTTATGACAGTTAGTTCTATGTGTAGTTGTGCATTGATGCATTTAAAAAAATACTTATATATATTGTTCTCTAGAGAAACTTGCATATTCTTCATATGCATTTTATGTACATCTTTAACAATAGTATGTAGATTTAAATAATTTACATGGATGGGAAAAGCATACGAATTTAAATATGAAATATTTTTGTACATAATTTTAAATATTAAACATAGTCAAAAATAAAATTTAATATTTATAATGATTATGCCATTTTTTAATCATATGATCAATAAATATATGAATGTTCCGTCTTAAGTGTATCTTTGTGGATTTCACTTCAACAAATGATTATAGAAATTAATATAAATTTAATTGTATATAAAATATTTAAAAATATATATTCAGCATTGTTTAGCCATATTATTTATACATACTTTATTAAAAGTAGTAAATTAAAATAACAGAAAATGTTGAAAATTAGTTCTAGTCATAAGGTATTCATAAATTGAATATAACGTTATTTACGTTTTTATAAACAAGCTCGGATGAAAATGTATGAAAATATTTCAACAATATCAGACTGATTATAATATTCAGCCAAAATTTATGTAAATATGAATATTAAGTGCTAATAATAACCTGAATATATAAGTATTTTAAGGTAAGAGTAACCTAATGTGCTTATCAATAGGCAACACTCGAAGCAATATTATTAAAATCTCTCAACTTTTATATTTACTTATGCAACTGATAAAATAATTTCTGCTATTGTGAAAAATGCTATATATTTTTGTGATCATGTATATTTTTTTGCTTTCAAACTATATTTTATAGTTTTGACATTAGCCATAATAAATATGAACGTCTCATATACGTTTGAAATGTTAAGAGGAGATTAACAATGGATTTCAGGAATTGTTTGATTTGTTGCATATGAATGTGTACTATAATAATAATTATTTAAAATACTTTTACACTAAAATCTTCTAGTAATATAGTAACATTTTAGATAAATATTATGAGATATTCATATAATATATCAATTTATTTAGTATCACACCAAACATTAGATTTGCAGTAGATAAATATTTATCTTTAAAAATATAAATATATAATTATCATGTATTCTAAGCCTATGATATAAGAACGATTACTTTAATATAAACTTATATATCTGAGGAATAAAAAGTACTAATATTAAGCTATAAATATTAATAATTAGTTTTTTGAATATTATTAGATAATTTATAAAAATGATCATTTTTTTTAATTACCTTTTGAAACAAACCCAAAATCAATATCAAAGTTTAATTTATAATATATAAACATAAACATATAGATTTTGAATTATATAGTTTAAATGAGTTACTATTGAAATGTTTCTACTTATTATTAATGTAATTTTTAATTTACGCTGTATTTATTTACTAGTGACACTTAGTTCATAATTTATTGATATTTGCGTGTATATATATATATATATATATATATATATATATATATATAATGTATGAATGTCAATATCTCAATATTTTAATAAGCATAACTTGAAATTTTCTATGATAATTTGAAAGAACTTTTTTATTTAATTACAATGAAAATGTGCTGTCTAAAGCACAGAGAAATAACATTTGGTGCATTCGAATTCACCAAATTATTTTAATTATTTTAGTATGATTTTTTGCGGCACTATTAATATTTTGAAACCAAATATAAATGAGTATTAAAAAAAATTTTTGTGTGAATGTTCATGCTTATTAAAATGTGTAGAAAACTATATATATATATATATATATATATATATATATATATATATACATAAAATTAATTGAAATTACTTAATTTATTTTAGATTATTTGGCAGTTTTGTTATATACACCCATTTGGTGATTTGGACATAATTTTGTAATGCAAATCTATAAGGTAATGACATACGATTTCATATTGTGATTGATACTATATATTAATAAATATATTTAATGTGTAAGCAATCTTTTCACTTCATCTTATGTTTATTCTTAAATTTTTCTTTTCTATTAATATTTCTTCTTTTCTTTTGGTAAAATAATAACCTAACCCTATATTAATACTTTCTATAATGGGTTATTGCTTGTAATTTGAATCTATACATAACTATTTCAGTTTCTTTTCCACATTAAACTTACTATACAAAAATATTTTATGTGCTATATACAAATTATTTAAATTGACAAACTAAGATATAGTTTTTTTCAGTTTCTTGAACATTTTTGTTCCAGCTGTGAATACATATACTTGTTGGTTACACTTAACACTTTTGTTTTTGGATAATTCACCTTCACACCCTAAAGATCTTGAAAATTTTGGAAGAGGATTATCAAAAAACAAAGGGGAAATGGCCAATCATTTGATCTCTATTGCTGCCATAAAGGACTTTTTTGTCAAATGGAAAGAAGTGCAAATATTCGCGAATAATAAACAAAGCTCATCATTTTCGGTAGGTCTTGAATAAAAGAGAAAAACAAACAATTAGGCCATTTTTTTTAAATTCAGTTACTAAAATGGCAAAAAAAGAACAGGGCTGCTACTCTTTTGAATGTAAATGATAATTTAATTCTTAAATAAGTTTTTTTTCTTATATTTTAAATATCTTAATTACATGTATAATATGTTTATGTAGTTTTAAGTGAACTTTCCGTACCGCAAATTATAATTTTTAAAACATTGAAAATTTTTGAACACTAAAGTTTTTTAATTATGAAAATTTTGAAAAGAATTTTTGAAAACATTTGAACTTTTTCAAGGCGATCGGGTTGCGTATCTGTTTTCAAGATGAAATTTTAAAGCGCGTAAGCGCTGCGTCGGAGCCTAACGATTAAACGTTATAAATCTTGGTTTGCAATCCATAGTAATGTAAACAAAATTTTTATATACATAAAAAAAAATCATTCAAAAATGGCATTTTTTTTAACTTTCCGTAGGGTATGTTATAGTAATTGCAAAAAAAGGAAAAGAAAAATTTGTGTACATCTTTACGTTTCAGAGTTTCTGAATATTTTGACATATTTTACAAAAAATGGATGTATGTGTGTGTGTGCGGATACAAATTTTCGTCGACGAATTCAGGAACACAAATCAACCAATTTGAATAATTCAAAAAACATTCGGTTTGTATTAATAAGGAGACGTGCTGAATATTATTTGGCAAAATGATAATTCAGTTTTTGAGAGAACTGTGCGCCCGATTTGAATAATACAAAATACATGTTATTTGTATTGACATGACAAATGTAAATCTAGCGGTTTCAGAGATCGAGTGAAAAAAGTAAAAAAATGCCATTTAGCGGTCAAAAATTATGATTAGACATATTATCATGAAAATATCAAAAATTTTATAGAGATTTTAATTATAAGTATGAATTTTATTCACATTTCTATGGGTTCGTACCAATGTTTATCCGTTAGACTGCGATGCGGCGCTCACGCGCTTTGATATTTCTTTTCTAAGCCACTAGTTAGCCTTAAGGCACAGCCACGTAGCACGATTGAATTCAAAGCAAGTTTAAAACTCTCAGAAAAATTCAAAACTATAAAAAAATCAATTTTCTCAAAAAGGTCAAAACTCTTCAAACATTTCAAAATTATCTTTTTTTCAAAGTTTTAAACAAACAATGGTTTTTTAAAAAATTTAATTTTTGGTACGGGAAGTTTCAGCAATTTGCCTTAAGGCACGATGCCACTAGTTAAACTTTTTTGTTGGTTTTCTGAAACCGCTGGACTTTTTTGCACCGTATTTTCGAAACGATTGGACCTGCCTTTTCTAAAAACTAATTAGCACGTCTTCCCATCAATAGCAATTGAATGTCGACCAAAATTTGTTTCCGCCCATACAGACGTACACACTACACACGCACATACATCCATTTTTTCTAAGATATGCCAAAATGTTCAGAAGACTTTGAAACGTAATGATATGCAAAAATTTTCATTTTCGATTTTTTGCGATTACTATAACTTACCCTACGGAAAGTTAATAAAAATAACTAATACACTCCGTGTTTCCAATAAAATATATTGAAAAATGTGAAGTTCTAATTTCATAATCAGTTCATTATTAAAAATCAGTTATATTATGAATATTAATATGATCGTAAATAAAGTTTAAACGATTATGCAAAGGTTTACTACAATTGTGAGATAAAGTTGTTATCCTTGGCATACTTTAGTATTACCCCTATACGATATTTTATGTTAATTGCAAACATATGAAATATGGGCAATCGGTGCCGCCTTATTCACTTCAATATTATTTGCGATGCTCCATTTTAGATCTTATTGATGTCATTAGTTTGATCGTCTGTTAATTTGTCTGTCATAGCTTGACAAATATTTTTGTTGTTTTTTAAATAATCCCAGATATCGTGGAAAATATTTAGTAACATTTATTATAAACCACAACGTGCATCCTCACATTGTTACATTATAAATATTATGTTTGGAAATTAGGAACTCCGCTAACAATTCATTTATTGGACAAAAATGCCAAAGGTATTTTGATAACAAAACAAAACGGCACATTAAATTTGGGCTTATGAAATATTTTCACCAAAGTCACTCTAGCTGGTTTATTACATACGCGTATAGCTATAGTTCGAAGTATTTCCAATTTTCAGTTAGTTGAAATGATGATCTAAATCGATATTCGAGTATCAAATAACATTCAAATCACTATAACATTAATTGAATTCCATTGTAACGAAATTAAATTTCTTTTGATCATGACTGGAAATATCGATATTTAACTATTTTTCTTATCTGTAATTTGTTAGTTAATTATGCCTCTAATTACAATATGTTGTATATTGGCCAATGAAGTTT